GGTGTCCCAGGGCTGGCAGTGATGGGAGCAGCGTGGTGGGGTAGTAAGAGGAGAGCTCTGGGCTCCAGAGTTTGGGGGCCACTCATGGGACCCCTGAGAACCTGATGCGTGCCTTCATTAGGCATCTCCACTGACTAGAGCCAGGGAAGATTTCTTAAAAGAGGATTCAGAGACTCCAAGCATGGCTTGCCCATCCCTCTGTCCACCTTGCTCCCCATTTCTGCTCTAATACTGACCCAAAGTGGCCAAATTCTGTGGTAAGGAGCCCTGTGAAAGGCTGACAAGAAAAACACAAGAGAGGGGGAATAGTGAGCCGAAGAATGTGGAGCCGAAATGAGAAGCGAAAAAAAGCAATTACCTGATCAATACCAGAGAAATTGAGTAATCCAGTCGATCAATACCACAGGCAGGCACACAGGTACTCCTGCTCTCAGCCTGCCTCCATCTTGGAAAGTCATCTAGCAGTCCACCGCCCACCTTGGCCTTTGCTCTTTGGTTCACCCCTGCCTCCAACCTGGTCAGCTGCAACCCTGTCCAGACATTTTTACCATGGCTCCTCACCTGGTTACACCAGGAGCTGTAGCCTAGGCTGCCTGGGTTGTTGTCACTTCTGCCATACGTATTACTTCACTCTGTCCTAGGAGCACAAGCGTCCATATAAAGTCCTGCTCACGTGCTGCACTGGACTGAGGGTAGGCAGGGAGCTGGGAGGAGGCCCACTCATTCAAAGGTGCTGCATGCAGATACCACCACTGAAGGTCACTCACTCATCTGGGGGCCTCCAGTATGTATGTAGGTAGGGACTTGAGGCTTCTGACATGGGATGAGGACATGGGAACTTCCTGATTGTGGGAACAGCAGCGATCTTCCTTTCTAAGCACTGAAAAGTATCTGGCAACTTGAAGAGTTGTAGCTTCCAAGGTATGTGTGTGTGTGCAGGGATGTAAAAAAAGGCTGTTGAGCTATGGAACTAGGTAAACCTGGAATAGGAGCTGGAGTCCTGCCCTTCCATATTTACCTGTCTGCTTCTTCTGCTAGACTGGAAGTACCTGGGCTGGCTGAAAAAAATGCGTGACCATTGTTACCTGGTACGTCAGTGGCTTCTGTTGGGTGTCTGATGACCCCTGTCCCATCAGACTGTGAGCCTTCAGAAAGCCAGCATCAGCATACCCATACCCGGGGCCAGAAGACACCATCCAAAGCTGGCTTGGAGGCTAGCTGACACTCTTTGGTTCCAAGGTCAGTCCAGGGAAGTGCAAACAAATTTCCCATAGGGAAACCTGAGGCCTATTTAAAGAGTGCAATAGCCCACCCTTTCCCAGCCACAACTTGTGAGTAGAGCAAGGCAATGCCTAGGCTGGGAAATCACTGCTTCCCCTAACCTCCCTGCCTTTGTTTTCTTCACTGACACAGTGGGATAACAATAGCACCCTTCTGCAGTCAGATTCCAGATTAGCCTCTGCTGACTCTCTTGGGAGGCCAGTGAGTTCCTGTCTCTCTGGTGTTTCGCTCTCAGAACTGAGGTTGTGAGGCTTGCACAGGCACTGGTACAGTCTTGGTGGCTGGAGGTGGAGAAGGCTACTGAACTGACAGAACTGAGATGGGGACAGATGCCAGCTGCTGTCTTTCCTAGACCTTCACCTCCGTGGCTTGGATGGCATCCCCTGGGTTTCTGGTGTTCCCCCATTGTCTGCTGACCTAATCCTTGGAGCTAGGATGAGAGCTGGGGTGGGGCTTCTGCCCTGCAGCAGGCACAGGTGGGTAGGTGGAAGGTGTAAGACCGCCCGCTCTTCTGCATTCTGGGAATGCTTTGCTATGTGCTTTTTCTTCATCCTCCAGACTCCCAGGCTCTGGAGCCTGTGTGATGGGAGGGAAACTTCCACAGGTGCTGGCCATTTCAGCAGCATTCTGGAACACCTGGCCTGACATCTGAAGAAAATTCAAGGCTAGCTTGCCCAGCGCATTCTGATTGTCTGATTCTTGGCTGATGGGAGGGAGAAAGTTTCTGCAGTGGGCAAAGTGTGAGAGTATGAGTTCTGGAGCCAAGAGGCCTTGGGGTTCCTGCAATCACTGGCTCTCGGCTTCACTGTGAATGTGCGTGTGCGTGCGTGCGTGCATGTGTGTGTGTGTGCGTGCGCATGCTTCACAGTGTATGTGCACATTTCTGTCTGTAAAAAAGCTGGTACTATCCACCTCCTCTTGAGCAGTGTTAAGCCTACAGCACAAAGCTCCACAGAAGGAACTGTGAGGTCAGGCTGCTCCGTTTGAACTGAGTGCTTGTGCATCCCTTACCATCATAGCACCACTCCAAACGGAAAAGAAGGCTCACAGAGCTTGACACTGCCAAAGGTGCCTGAGCTGTTAGGGTAGCAGGGGCAGGAGAAGGGGAGGGAAGCCAGAAGAGAGGGTTGGAGGACTGGGGTAGGGTCTCCCGCACCTGCCACTTTTCTCTGCAGGACAAAAGGCAGATACATGAAGATGGAGCAGGCACATGGAGGCAGAGACACAGCAAATGCCCAGTGCAGACCTGCAGGTGCTAAGGCAGGAGCAAGTTCAGTTCCTATTTTTTTTTCTTGCTTACATTTTTATCTGAATAAATGAAAATGCAGGGATGGGAAATTGGCTTAATCAGCAAACTGTATGCTATGAAAACATGAGGAGTTTGGATCCCCAGACCCCATATAAAAGTGCCTGCAATCCCGTGCTGGGGAGGTGTAGACAGGAACTGCTGGCCAACGGTCTAGTTAAAGGGTTCAGTGAGACCCTATCTCAAAATATAATTTGGAAGGTGACAAAAATAAATCTGATACTGACTATACACGGAGACAGGAGAGAATGGGGAGAAGCATCAATCCAGCAACCGTGTTCCATGGATGGTGGAAACAGGCACTGGTGCAGGAGAGTCAGAAAACAGCCAAAGAAGCAAATGAGGGACCTGAAGGTAGAAGAAGGCTATGCTAGAGCGGAAGCCACAAGGCTGAACTTTCATACGGCCTTACTTACCCCCTCTGCCTCATCCCTTTACCTATTTTTGAGTCCTATGCACATCTGTCTTCTATCCCAACAGTGAAAAATGTCAGTTCATCAGCCATTTGTCAAGCATCCTTAGGCTCCAGTTCTGGGTGCCGCAGACAGGAACACAGATGAATTAACCTTCTGTTGGACCTTAGTTTGCTAACTGTTCACAGAGAACATGGAAAAGGCTGAGTAGTAAACATGGGCTATGATAGATACAGATGTGCTCCTCACCTACCTGGGAAGGGTCAGAGCTGAAAGTTCTGGAAAAGATACCTGGCCAGAGGTAGGGCAGAAAGGTGCTCAGGTAGGGTGGGCCTGTGCAGAGTGGCTAGTACCCAGGAACTTCTTTGTAGGGACGAAGCTGTCACGGGGACTAAGTCAGCACAGGCAGTCCCTATAGAAAGATCAGCATGTGCTAAGTGCTCCACTGGCTCTGACGCCTAAGCATTTGGCCTGTGTCTGTGGGCATGGACCATGGAGAGGCCAGGTTAAGATCTTCCAAACTACCCTAAAGACTATTACAGACTCCACGGAAGGCTTTTTCCTGGCTGACCAGCCATGAGGGGTCATTCCCACCCCTTCATTCAGAATTCCAGTACTTGCCATCCCATCCTAATGGTAAGCGTAGGCTGACCGAGACTGCTGCCTCAGATTCGGATCTCTGTGCAGCTTGTTCTTAAAATGAGTCTCTTTGCTGTTAACAGTGAGGGAGCTGAAGAGAGCAGTGCCCACTCGTTCCCAGCCTCCTACCTTCCACTCCCACCTAGACTGGCTGTCTTCTTCAGCATACTGCATTGGCAGGGTAGCTCCCCAGGTCCAATGCTCCTCACTGCTAACACACACCAAGGCGCGCTCCTGCCAGCATCCTTGTTTGTCTTTTCTCTTGCATCTGCCTGCCACTCAGTGCCACTTTCCAGAACCCTTTCAGTAAAACTTAACACTTGGTTTCTCTGTCCCCATAGGCAAAATGAGGTTGCCTGTCTGTCATTTTCCTTGAAAGGTTATATGGCATTCAGAAATCAAAATTCTCTTTTCCAATTCTTGTCTTCTGCTGGGAATTATACTGGCTTGGCATGCACTTAAAAAAAAAAAAATCCTAGCTGGGTGGTGGCGGCACACAGCGTTAATCCCAGCACTTGGGAGGCAGAGGTAGGTGGATATCTGAGTTTGAGGCCAGCCTGGTCTACAGAGTGAGTTCCAGGACAGGCTCCAAAGCTACAGAGAAACCCTGTCTCGAAAAACAAAACAAAACAAAACAAAAAAAAAAGACCAAATAAAAAAATCCTAAGAAAACATAATCACAAACCGATGCTTATTTTATAATTCACATACTATCATGACCACCATTGGAGTGCCTTTAATCCAATGGTTTGTTATTTACACTCAAACTTTCCAACTGCCATGATCATTTTCATCAGTCTACAAGAAACTGTAGGCTGGCTAGGCGGTGGTGGCATACACCTTTAATCCCAGTACTTAGGAAGCAGAGGCAGGTGGATCTCTGTGAGTTAGAAGCCAGTCTGGTCTACAGAGTGAGCCTATAGGACAGGCTCAAAGCTACAGAGAAACCCTGTCTTGAAAAACCAAAAAAAACAAAAACAAAAACAAAAAAAACAAAAACAAAAACAAAAACAAAAACAAAAAAAAACCTGTAGGCCATTAGCAGCCACCCTCTACCATTTCTCTGGCAATCTATGGATCCGTCTGGCTGACATTTTCCCACAGGTGACCATGTGTCTAAAGAATCCTCACTACAACTACAATCAGAGTGCAGGACTTTCTCCCAACCAATTCTCCTTGCTTTAGCGCCTTTTATTCACTCCCTGTGGAAACACAGGCTTCAGCACTATGGATAAGCCCACTCTCACTCCTCTGGCCCCTGCAGGAACTGCAGAGTGCCGTGAGCTAGTAGGAAGCCCGCAGACTTTGGCACACTGTGCAAGGAACAATAAAATTAATACTCAGAAAACATCTAAGTACTCTTTGTTTTTAAATTTAACTTTAATTTTTGAGGTAAAATACTTTTTTTCTTTCGACTTCCATAACAAAATACAGAGCTATCAGATACCCCTGGAAAAAATATGTATATTATACATATATTTCTATAACATTACATCATATATATAATATATATGCAAAAAATTTGAAGACTTTAGAAAGCAGAACATCTAAAAGGCACTGCACAATGGTGTTCAGGTTCCTTATAATTTATATACATATACACATCTTATTCTGCTTACACAGATGTCTGGTGAAGTCATCTTCACATGTGAATGTCTCATTCACAAATCCCTGCATCACAAGTTTATAATTCAAAGAATGCCTAAATATGTTGAAACAAATTAACACATAACTTTTTCCAAGAAGGAACTAATTGGAACAGTTCTTTGAAGATTGAAGTATCTCTAAAGCCACATAAAAACATATGCCTCACTACTGTTTACACAAGAAAAAGCACAAACATAATTATAGAATAAATAAAAATCAAGGGACAAACAGCTAAATGACTACCCACTTGGCAGTGGAATATAACTTTTTTCTTTTCTTTTTTTTTTCTTCTTTTTCTTTTTTTAATGCTTCTGGAAGTTCCCTGGCTTATGGGTCACTAGGGTTCCCTGTATTACTGAGCTGGGTTTAATGCAGAACAGCCTGACACCTAGGGGAGATGGACTATATCTGTCTCTATTTTACTTAAAAAAAAAAAAAAAAAAAAGCGAGCTCAGCAATGCCGACGCCCTGAGAATTTGCTACTCTTTTTCTATGGCTAAAAAAAGCAAACTGTTTAAATGAACAAGCTCTTGATTAGTGAAATTTCAATAGATTTACACCTACAAAGTTTTACACATTTGGCACAACAAAATTTAGAAGGAAAAAAATGAGGGAGAGAAAGTATATCCAGCTTCTACCCCCTTTCTCTACTGCTGGATAAGGATGTGCCCACAGCAGGCGACCACCTTCTTCCACACCAGGCTGGAGGCAGGAAGTGCCAGGAGGGGGCTGGGGAGAGAACAAATTCTCATTCCTTTGCTCCAGTAAGTATATTAATGATTGCTCCATTTCCTGAGCAAGCCCAAGTTCTGCTATTTAGACAGACCCTTCCCCAGATCCAAATCCAAACTCCAACTGTTTGCAGTGCCAATCAACCAACACATTACGAGTGGAATGGCAATCAAAGGAAACAGCATAGTTTAGTAAAAGTCCAAAAACATTTTTCATTGAGTTCAACATTTCTGAATGTTTTTTTCAAATGTAAAAGCAGTGAATTTATTCAAATGGAAGCAGCATCTAGGGATTAATTCTGGCACTTGGGTTTTAGGGGATTACAGGTATGCATCATGGACTTTCCTTCTCTCATTTTAAAGGCCCCACGTTTCTATTCCTGAGTTTACACGGACACTGGTGGCCACCTGGCCTCCCTGATCTGACAGGCAGCACCAAGCGGAGAGCCTTCCTCTAGTCGCTGGGCTCGCTTTAGATTCAGAGGTAAGGCAGGGTGAGAGAAGGAAGCAGATCAAACACAGCCACAAGGACAGCAGGAGCGGTGAGTCCTTTGTGGCCCTACCAAAGCCTGGGTCACCAGAGACCTCAGTCCCTTTCCTGGGGAAAGACAGTTGCTCATGTATGGAATCTGGACCAAGCGACAAGACACTCATTAAGAAAGAGCAATGATGGCCTTAAGTCATCCTGAGTCGGCTGCTGTCTCCTGAGCTCCTTTTGTGCATGCGCTTCAGTTAAAGAAAAACCAACACCCCACCATCAAAAGATAACACTCAAGTATTACCTGGTACATAGTTTTCAACCAGGTTAAGGTGGTGGAATCAGCAATCACTGATGCCCCAATGCCATCCCCTGCCTCAGCAGATTGGAATGACTTTTCCCGCTGCCCTGAGCCACTCCAGGCACAAGTGTACACAGAGGACGCTGGCTGCTGCTGCTTTCTCTCTGCTCCTCGGTTAGCATTTCATTTCACAGAAGATCAGTATCTTCCCATTTCTTTGAAATTTTGTAAGGGAATTTCCCACACAGAAATGGTTCCCATCTGTGACCTGCATTTTGTGAATAGTAAACTGAGCAGAACAGTTTGGGCAATGGGGATCACAAGGATGGCAACACCACCACAGGGCCTTGTGGCATCTGGTAGCTTGTGGTTAACAGGCCCCTGGTTACCACCTTCCTACCTCTTCCTTCAGTTTCAACACTTGTTCCCAGCTACTCTGCACTTAGTCATTCCTACAATCTTGCCCTTTGCACCCAGCCTGGTAACATCAGAGGGAATAACTCTCAGCTAGGAAGTCGACTATGCCTCAACATTCCTGGGTTATCTCAACAGTGTTTATGCCCTTTACAGGTTTAAGCTGACAGACCCGTATCATCTTAATGCATGTTCATAGTTAAGGCTTCACTTAAGAAACAGTAAGACAACCAGACAAAACAGAAAAGCATCTTCAACGGCACTATCCTGCTCCTCATAAAACTTGTTCAGTTACACTCGGCATGGTTTCCCAAACAGATAATGGAACAAGAAAAATGAAGACTGATTCTGTCATCTGTTTGGTTCTTAAAGGCATTGGGTTACCTCCTCCTGCCCTCTTCTTTCTTCCCTGATCAAGAGTTTACAACTCCACATGGCTTTGTAACAGGTGAAGTAGGTGACGGTCAAGGAGCTTGTAGCAGGGCTTCCTCCCACCTCAGCTCTGGAGCCGAGGGGCCAGGAGCTCCTGTGCTCTCCCCGCCCATTGGAACTGCAGTATACTCAAGTCTTGAAAACATTTTCTAAGAAGGGGAAAAAAGCCAAATGTGTGAGTGTGTGTGTGTAGGGGGGCGTGTTTGTGTGTGTGTGTGAGAAAGAGAGAGAGAGAGAGAGAGAGAGAGAGAACACATGTACGTGTGCTCCAGTGAGGGAAACGGGGGGGGGGGGGGAAGGAGGGAAGAACATCTAAATGTCCCCACTTCTGGAAGACTGAAATTACATTTTCTCTCTCCTGAAATAAATATCTTAGTTAACACGCTGTTAACTGTTCCTTACCACCCAGCATCCCAGCTTTATTTCTCTCTCTCAGAGCAAAATATACCATTATTGGCTTTCTATATGTATAAATACAATAGAAAAAACTCTGGGTCCTGAACTGTAACAGGACTACAAAGTGGGCTCTTATGGAGCTTGTCAGGCAGAAAATGAGTCTTAAACAGGAAACAAGCTCCTTCCCCCACAGTTCAATACCCTCCCTACATCCTACTCACCAAGAAAAAAAGAGTGTGTTTATACCCCACTTAATGTACAACACAAGACAGTCATCCCCAACAGAAAAGTACAAGTCCATGCCCCAGAATTATCAAACCAGCTTAACCCCGCCTCCCACCCCAGAATCTTGCTACATAAATACGTGTATCTGATTGTAATATGAACAGCTTCCCTTCCACTGTGGTCTTAAGCATCAGCAGCAGCAGTGGCTGCTGCAGCCAGGCCCTGGGGTCCTGACCCATTCCAGAGGAACTTGCCCGTCTTACTGAACTCCCGGGCTTCAGGGTCATCATTCCATCGCCTCTTCAGTCGGAGCTTGGGGGGCATCAGTGCATCTTCTTTCTTCTCAGCAACACTGGGCTCCTTGCCAGACCTGTCCTCATTGTCTTCAGTCCCCTCTAGGGTTTCATCACTGGGGATGCTAACGGGGACCGAGGGCCAGGGGGGCGAGGGGTGGGCAAACACTGTACCTTTCCCCTCCTCAACGGTCCTGGTCCGCACAGCGTCCACTTCTTGGGACTGTTCTTCCTTTTCTTGGGTCGACTGCCTGAGGCTCTCGGGATCCTTCTCAGAGATGGGCTCTACCTTGATTCGAGAGGGACTAGGTACACTGGTTGGGGCAGAGCCGTGTGTGGATTCATTGTTTTCCACCCTCTCTCGGTTCTTCCGTCCAGCTGGTGGGGGCTGCAGCTTGATAGAGAACTGGGACGACTCCTCAGGATGTATTTGGCACTGCAGCGGTGGGACCATGAGCCCTGGGTAGCGGGGGAAAGTCCGAGGACTCAGATGGTAGTTGAACACAGAACAGGCTTGAGAATGAAGGTAGTGTTTCATTTCCTCTGGGTTGAAAGAGAAGCAACTGGTGCTGGTGAAGGGGCTCAGGCCTGGTGAGGGACTATAGGAGAACATGGTGGGCGTCAGGGACAGGGCTGGTGAAATGGGGACATTTAGGACACCTCCACGGCCAGGAACTGGAGAGATAGCGAAGGGACTGTGGGGGTCAGGGTACATTGCTGGCCGAGTGAAGAGAGGAAGCACTATGTCAGGCTTACGTTTCTGGTGGCCAATCCCTCCTCCACTAAGAGCATTTCGAGAGGGTATAAAATCCATGGCCCGGTGCCAGTCAGATGCTGAGCCATCTTCTAGGTCCAAAGGCTCCACCTTTCTATCAGTGGTACCACCTGACTCAGGGCCAGAAGCACTCAAGGAGCTAGCAGAGAAGCGCCCTGGCTGCACATCACTAGGAGAATGTGCGTCCAGGGGTGGGAAATGGAAGCGGGAAGATGCTGTTGGCACTGGTGGTGCACTCTGAGGAACCACACCTGTGAGGGAAAAAAAGTCTGTGTTAGCCACCTGGTCACTCACTATCATATCATCACTTTTACCTATACTAGCTAAGTACACAATGTTAAGTGACAACAGGAAACACACTTATCTAGTCTCAGTCTTTTTCAAAACTATTGCTCAGGTTGGGTATAGTGGTACAGGCTTGCAATCCCAGCACTCAGGAGGAGAAGGGAGGCCTGAGCCTTTAAAGGCATCCTATATTGCTCAGCTTTCTCCATTCAGCCTAGCTTCCATGATCCCCTGGCCTCTTACCTTACTGTCTAGGTGGTTCTCCTTCCTACCTGCAATGTCATTCAATATTTGAGTTAAAACTATATCCCATCATTTCAGGGTGTAAGAGTTAGCAGGTGCCCACTAGACGTTAGCTGAAGAATGAATGGGTACATGGACCTTTTCCTCGCTACTCACTTGTGTGTATAGATCCTATTTCAATTTTCAGCTTCACAGGGAAGGTTCTTCTCACTGTCATAATTTTGGCTGTATTTATAGAGCAAGCAAACCCAGCAGCTACATAGCCAAACAAAACACATGCATGTGGTTGTTCTGAAAATTCAGACTACACCTCACATGAATGGGCAGGGACAAGTGAAATAGATTGGTGTGAAAAGGCAATTTTTATTAAGGTAAGTTCCTATGGTCTATCTTTATCATTTTTGATAGACAACCATTATATCTCAGAGATTCCAGTCTTTCTGTATCTATAGTTCAATGAATCCTATATAATGGTATCTACTTCTGTTGTCCATTGTTCTTAGGTACTGAGGAGGAGGCTGGACCTACTATCTTCTCTCCTAAGTCTGATTACTAGCAGGTGTGATGATCCATGTTTAAAATCCCACAACTGGGGAGGCTAAGTCAGGAAAATTACTGTGACTTGAGGCTAGGTTGCCTCAAAAAACCAAGTCCAACTGCTAAATTTCAAACTCTGAGAAGAAACTATCATTTTTATCACATTTGACTTGAGAAGGTCATAAATTCTCAACATCCCCCAAGCCTAAGAAAGCTGCCACCTGAAGCCTTAGATGCTGGAAAGATTTAACATGATGATGTCCAAAGAGTTCTTTATACATGAAGGAAAGAGAAAAGAAAAAAGGGATTAGAAATAAGGGGACTAGATAGTCAAAGTCTGGTGGTCCAGGAGAGAAAACAGGGCACAAAATATAGGGACTGAACTGTTCACAATTCCAGCATAACTCTGGAGAGGGCCGTTATGTGGCAGACTGTGGCTTCCTTGGTGCCCATGGTTGTGACACCTGCCAGAGCAGCATTTATCAACAGATGTTCAATAGAAAACAGCTCTTCTGTAGGCCTTGTTTTAAAGACCCCTGAACTGAGACTGGTTATTAAAAGTAATAAACAGGAAAAACAGACACATGACCTTGCATATAATTTGAGTAGAGCCAAGATAGGTCCAGGGCAATGGATCTCTTTAGTTTTTCACAGCAACTAAGAATCTATTATTTTATTTTTTTGACTCTTGACTTCTTAAGTCTTATCTAACTAAGGGCTCTAAAAATGGCTCAGTGGTTAAGAGCATCTGCTAGTCTGGTAGAAGACCTGAGTTTGGTTCCCAGCACCCACACTGCAGCTCACAACTCCAGTTCCAGGAGATCTGAAACCCTCTTCTGACCTTCACACACATATACATACATACAAATAAGCAAAACATGTATACATAAAAATATTTAAAAGAAGTTATTAGTCAAAAGTGAAAAATTGTAATCTGAAATGCAGAAAGTAATGTAAGGCTAGTGTGGAGAGGAAAAAAAAGTTTTATTTCCTATGCAAGTCAACAATGCTTGCTTAAGTCAAGTTAGTTTTGTTTCTATTTTTAATAGAGTCTACCACTTTGGCCTTTATATATACTAAGGCACACTGCACAACTGTAAGGAGTTATTTCCACAGGACAAAGATAGCTATGACTAGGGCAATGTATGGAAGGTGGCTGCTGAGTCCCTCCCCTTTATGTACAATATGTTGAGGTGTCAAATCTAAGGTTCTATTTGAAAAACAAGCATGCAAGCGAACAAACAAAAAAACCCCTCTGTTAAATGTCAATATGATTACTTGAAAGAGGAGTGCAGCAATACATGTAACAGAAAACCGAAACCTCAGTCTCGTACCACTCTGCTAACTAGTGTTAAGTAACACGCCGAGCTTTGGTGCTCCCTTTGAAGGTCAACGCAAATAAGTTCTTTGTTTAGGTTCAAACTCTGACCCTACCCAAGAGTTTCTGAAAAAGTTACTTTCTGGCCCAGTTTTCATAAGTAGGAAGTAATAAGACCAATCTTAATGTTAGAGAAATAGTTAACATCTGTGAGGTTTTTGGACTAGTACCCGTGCATAGTAGGTCATATATTGTTAGAATAAATTGTGTTTGTTCTTTCTTTTGGAGGCAGCATCTCATGGAGTCCTGGTTGGCCTAGAACTTGCTACTAGGCAATCCAGGCTGGCTTCAACTAACAGAGACCCAACTGCCCCTGCCTTCCAAGGGCTTGGTTTACCAGCATGAGCCACTATGCCCTGCTTAATTTTAATGATTTAAAAAAAAAAGTTAAAATTAAAAATTTAAATTAAAAAGCCTTAAATACTGTTTACATATGGGTCATACATTATTAGAGCATCACTAAACTTTCTGAGTGTGGTAGTGTCATTGCAGTTACAGAAAAGAACATCCTATTCCTGAGAGAAAAGCCATGGTACCAGCATGTTAATCTCTGGACGCAAAAAGTATCTGTAAATAGAGATGAATTACATGTGCAATGCTGTGAACCACAGTGAGTCAGGGGAGGGCATGTGAGTGCTCGGTATGAGTTCAATTCTTTGTTAGGTCTCACGTCTTCCAAAAGAAGTGTTAAACCCAGGGTGATCGGGGGGACGATGTGAGAGACAAATTTAGCCTGCCCTTCCCCACCTACTGAGAGTGAACCATTTTTATCCAGGAATTCTCTATCCTTCTAATGTTTCTTAGACACACGCATGTGCACGCACACACACATAGTCAGTCACACACACACAAAAGTATAAAAAGAGTACAAAGTGCTTGAGTAATCAGTGTGAGTTATTATTCCTGGCTTAATTTTTTAAAAATTTATTTATTTTTATTGTACGTGCATTGGTGTTTTGCCATGGGTGTCAGGCCCCTTGGAATTGGAGTTGTGAGCTGCCATGGTGGTGCCTGGGAATTGAACTTGGGTCCTCTGGAAGAGCAGTCAGTGCTCTTAACTGCTGAGCCCTCTTTTTAGCCCTGACTGGGTTAATTTTTAATGGTTTAAAAAAAAATTAAAATTACAAAATTTTTAAATTAAAAAAATTAAGACAGTTTATATGTAGGTCATATTATATATGCTACACACACACACACACACACACACACACACACACACACACACATAAAAAGATACTGCATACAGATGTACTTTTTTGAGACAGAAACTTACTATGTGGTTAATGTCACCTGCCTTAGCCTTCTACATGCTGGAATTATAGGTGTGCATCACTATGCTTAGTGTCAAGAAGTATTTCAACACTATTCTAATACTGGGTACTGTATCCTAAAGTGTCTTTTGGGGTTTTGAGATATGATGTCAGAGTAGCTCAGGTTATCCTTGAAATCAATACACAGCCCAGGGTATGCTTGAATTCCAGTCCCTCTGATTGTCTATCTTCCAAGTGCTAGGAAGTCATGCCAAGCTCCACCTTAAACTATTAACAATGACTAGGAAAAACATGGAGGGAAAAAGCAATATTCACACTTACATGTTTTTATATTTGGCATATATTTCTACTTAAAAATAAAAGACTAGAATAGTTGCATACATTGACCAACCTAGAGAGAGAATCTCTGGCCTCCAGGGTTTAAGTGGGTATTTTCTAGAGCTTTTATTATATCCCACCATACAAACCTAGAATTTCTTTTAAACTTCTATTTTTTTCTCTCATACATTATAGCCCAATCTCAGTTTTCCCTCCCTACAAGTTCTACCACTTCCTCCTACCTCCCCTCTTCCCCAGATCAACTTCTTGTCAAGTCCTCTTAAAAAGAAAACAAATAAAAAAAGCAGACCTCCCATGGCCTAAGACTGGGCACAAACCTCGTTATCATGGCTGGATGTGGCAAGCCAGTAGGAGGCAAAAGGTCCCAACATTAAGAGTTTAACTGAGATAAGATTCTAGGTTTTTCACTAGACAGAGCCAGGGGAACCCCGCAGAACAGGGGGAAGAAGGAATGTAGGGGCCAGAGGGCTCGAGGACACCATGAGAACACAGCCCACAGAATCAACCAAGCAGGGTTCATAAGGGCTCACAGAGACTGAAGCAGCAAACACAGACCCTATATGGATCTAAGCTAGGTCCTCAGTTAAACTCTTAAGTTCCTTGAGGAAAAGAACTTCCCCATAATCCTTTGTTTTTCTTTAGGGATTAACACATCTGTTAACACATGGTTGAATCCTAACCAAGAGGAAGACTGCATGATATTTTAAACAAGAGCATGATTTTAAAAGTTGAAGGAAGAACTGAACCTGCTTCTGTATTTGACTCTGATGTGTTCATATTTGATTTTGTCAGTTGTAAAACGGAAGTATCAAGATACATATATTTTACTAGGTTAGAAGCATAGATAAGTCACTAAACCAAACCAAACAGAAGCGCCTTTACTAAGTAGACACTCAATAGTGTTGCTTTCTTTTGTCAACATTATGTTAATCTTAAACACTTGGTCTATGTGGGTAAAAGTTCTCTGTAAACAAAAGGCTCTGGTTCTTCATAGTTATCTACACCAAGGAGCTAACAGCCTAAAAGGATGGTTCAATGTTTTGCTTTTCCTGGGATGATGATGATGATTTTGTGTTGAGAGTTGAACCCAGGGCCTTACACATGCTAGACAAATGCTCTTCTGAGCTATGACTATCCCAGGACTTTTGATTAACATCTTGAACCTATTAAAGATCACTGCGGGCTTAACAGCATTTGGTGTAACAGATCTGCAGACCAGGACTTCTACAGAGTGAAGAGTCCCTTGCCTTGGAAAACTTGATTACTCTCAGGGGTCGATGGACATTCTATTCAAGTTGTCTAAGTGACTGAACTTCTGAGCCTTCAATTGATGAAAATGGATCAAAGAACAAGACTGACAGGTTTGGAGAAGAGCAAGTGTATGAAGCCCAACATATTTCTTCAAAATTGACGACATGCCCATCTGGAGTCCTACACTCTATAGGTGCACAGGGAAAAAGCAAGAGTGAGAAACAGAGGAAGCAAGATTCCAGGGGCTAGAGCAGCTTTGATTTCCTAATGCAGCTCCCTTAGGCACAGGGAAAGAAAACAGGTTGTAATTAGAGGTGCATTCCAACCCCCACCCCCAAATGCATGCCCCAGGGACAGGAAGGCGTGGTTACTGGAGAAGGTGGAACTGCAATGATCGCAGTCCCGCTCAAACTGCCCTGACTTGTTGTGTGTAGTAATTACATATCTACAGATCATCTTAGTATTATATTCTCTTAGCCACACCCCTCCTCTAATTTTTCAAGTTTCTGCCAACCTCTGAGTACTTTTATTCAAAATCTTGATCTCCTTTCTTGGCATAGAATGTCACAAAGAACAATGATAAAACTGGTCAAAATGGTACTTGACACCTGTAATCCTAGCACTTGGATGAGACAGGAAGACTGCCCTAGGCCAGGTTGACAAGAGTAAAGTTCAAGACCAGCCTGACTACATAGTGAAACCTGTCTCAAATAAAAAACAAAACAAAACAAAAAAACAAACCTGACTCATGAGCAGGGGATAATTTATTATCTTTTAATACCCCTCTCTCCAAACAAACAAAAATCCCCAAAACAAGAAAACTCTAACCTAATTCTAACTCAAACACCTACACCTGACACTTTTGTAAGTGGATGCGTCTCCATCAAGCAGACCAAAGGCTGTGAGCTGCTATGGATGCTACCAGACAGCACAGAGGGGAAGCCGGCTGCACCTGAAAGGAAAGCGGCTAAGGGAAGTCCAGAGTCTTGCACTGAGGAGCAGTGCTGAGTGCTGGTGCAGATCAGAGACTTGGCCTTTCACTGCAAACACGACTGAGGGGCTGTGGTTTTGATGACATTCATTTGATAAGGGAGAGCTTGTAGTTTCATAGAAAATCGGAAATGTTTGTAGAAACAGGTTCACAGCTATGAAAGAGCCACTGGGCAAGGTGTTAAAACGGAGTCTTGAATTTAAAATTCAACACAAACTTATGGACTCATTCCCCAAAAGGAGTTTAGTAGTATCCAGGAGTCTGAAAATAATGCATATAGAAGTAGCCAAATAAACTAACAAGCCTGCTAGAGTAATGCACAGCCCATTACCCCTTTAGACGAATAAGGAGGACTTGAAGTAATCTAAGGGACCACATCACATCAATGTTTCTAAAATCTCCTGACACAGGTCATGTCTCAGATTTGGGTTTTTAAAAATTCTTTTAAATTCAAAATCCACTCTCCATCACAGGTACTGTCTCTTACCACTTGAACGGATGTTGATGAAAGGGTAGTTGGGCATCGCCAGCTTGCTGAAGTTAAACTTGTAAGTAAACCTTTTCCCTTTTGTTTTATGAAGGATCCTCTTGTTGTAATAGTATCTACAAAAACAAGAACAATGGTATGGCATTTGCTACGCTTAGATAATTACTAAGATCAATTCTAGCTCTAAGCATTGCTTACAAAAACCTTCACCATTCCTTTACAGCCTGGCCCTGGATTTGGGACTTGGAGACCTAAGAAATCACTTTTCTCATCCATTTTAAACTGAGCTGTAGTCTCTGCCTAGAGCTTGACACAGACATTCTTATTTTAAGATCCCAAACACCTTCCTAAGTTCTAACCACTCACCTTCTCATTTCTCTATAGTTTCAGTCTATGGTCCACTTCCTTCCTGCTTCACTCTAAATAACTCTAGTTTCTTTTCGTCTTGCCCAGGTTGGGTCAGACAAGCCTTCTGGGGAGAGCTCATGGAGTTAGTCAGGAGCCTAAGTGCAAGGACTAAACATAGGAAAGGAAACGGGTTTCATGGGAGCCAGTGAGACAATGGCATGAACAGGAAACAGCAGCCACCCTGGCCCACTTCACCTTCACTGTGGCACAAAAAGGACGTGGGAGGCGCCACCAACACTGCACAGACTTTACACTCAGGCTACTGAGAATGAAGACAGGGAACTTCCATTCACCTGGAAGCTCTGGCCTGGCTTCTGTTAAGTCGCATATGTCATAAACTACCTGCTGGCCCCTTGAGGACTAAAGAGCTATAAAAATTAAAAAACTGACAGAGACGAGCAAATGAGAGAACTTCTGATGATCATCCTTTGGACTGAATGGAGGCTACAGGCATGGTATATGAGCATCTGGGTTCAAAGTCTCCCTCCTGCACCCACTGCACCTTTCCCACTTCCAGGAGAGCCCAAAGAAGAGAGATGATAGGAATTTCTCAATAGGGAAGTCTACAGTAATCCCCTGGATTAGAAGTGAGCCCTAGTTCATGTTTCACCACATGCTCTTACCAACTACAAAGCATGATCAGCTTTCAGCCAGTGCCAGCCACACTGGAATCCCCTCCCACACCTCCTCACCTCTCGTGCCACTCAGCTTCAACACCTCTTTGACTCCCACTCTGAAGTGACACAGTCTTTCATCATCTGACACCTTTTCGGACAACATCCACAAACTTGCACACTTTCCTTTCAGCTTAGTTAATACCACAAATTTGGGGGATCCTTTCCCTCACCTGAGGGCCCGGCTCAGCTTGTCATAGTTCATCTGTGGTTTGCACTTCCTGCGGCCCCAGAGGCGAGCCACTTCATCTGGATCCTTGATGACAAACTCCCCATACTCTCCCTGCTGCCAGGCGATGACATGGCGGAACTCTTCCTTCTGCAGCAGCTCGAGGATGAAGTGCCACAGCTGGATCTGCCGGGAGCCTGGCGATGACTCTGTTTTGTAGGCCCAGTCTGGAAACTGATACCCTTAAATGCGAAGAGGGCAAGATCAAAGTAATTGGGAGTTAGGTACAAACACGCCAATACCCCCACCTCCACATTCCACGGCTTGCAATCTCTAGAGTACTCTGCAAACACACCCTTCCAGACAGCTAGGCTAACCATGAAGAGGAGAGGGAAGGATGGAGAAATTACTCACTCTTGTGGCAATCACTGAATTTAAAAAAAATTAGGCAGCAGTACTTAGGTATCCTAACCTATCACTTTTTCATAGATTGCCATATAGCAAAAGAAGCAAGATAAACTGATGTGTTAGGAACATATGACAGAAAACACCTTATCCCCAGTGTAGAATTATTTCTCTAACAGAAAAAGAGACACTAAAACTTGCAATAAAGATGTGTGAGCCACAGGAAACAAGCCTACAACTATCCTACCAAGATCTACAGTCATGCGGCTGTCAGTTATGGTCTAGCATTTGTCAACTTAAACCCAAGTGGGAACAGGAACACTAAAGGGCAGGAACCACTAAGGGACATTCCAGATCCATCAGAGATGATGGACCTTTGCTCACCTCCACCTCCTTCTGGCTTTTCCACGATGCTACAGCCTGCTTTCATTTTCGCCCTCCTGCTGAGAGAAACAAGTCTCACAGTTATTTTGAGATGTTATTATCTAACAAAGATTTTTTGGCACAGCTTTCCCCCACAAACATCCCCCCCTTTGTCTTTACTTTTTTTCAAAGCCCTTTGTCTTTTAAACATGTCACCTCTGAACTACTAATCCTCAAGTCATCAAATGACGGTCCTCAGGTCATCAGCTTCAAAAGCCATAATTATCTCTCACCTGACTTTAGCCACAAGTGTAAACACTGTCCTTAATATTTTCTTTCTTCCTTCTGACCAGCCCTCCAACAGAAAAAAGGGAACAGTGAAACAAGTCCAAAAAGAAGCAAAAACAAGTCATTTTGTTTTGTATTACTAAACTAGCCCATATGCTTAGGTACACAAGCCTGAGTTCACCCAGATATACCAATTTAAAGAGTGAAAAAAATCCAAACCCTCTACTCAAGAAGAAACTTCCAATTCCAAATATTTACTGAATTATGTGAAATGGAAAACATCATCCGATCAGAAATTGTGCTCGCCCTAAAAAATATTCTGAGACACAGAAAGTAAACGTGCTGTGTACGGCCACTCTATCCAAGAAACAGCACTTTCCTAAAACTTCATGAAAAATATTTCTAAGGCATATATTTAAGAGGGAAATAAAAAGAACAGGATAGGTATATGGGGTCTCCTGGTCAGTGGCGGATGGCATCTTGCTAGGATCTGAATTCATTTCACGCAGACTTATAGTTCCTCAATAAATCTTCTGTTCCTATCAGTAGACAGCTTTGTGTCAGTCCTTCAGCAAAGAGGAGGGAAGGGTGAAACTGGCAGAGAATGACAGAGGAAGAGAGGAGAGGCTTATTCTCATCACTGCAGGGCGGACGACAGGTCCTCAGCACCATCAAGAGCAGGTCTGGAGCAAACACAGGTGCTTCAGAGGCCCCAGGGTGGGGTGGGACAAATTCCTAATCTTGGAAATTTCATCTAAACTAGAATTCCTCTAGATGTTCTGCATTTTCTTTCCCGACATATACATTAAGGAGAACAACAGTAAGTTTCAGTCCATAACAACACTAGGGATCAAGGCTCAAGGAAGGAGGCAACAGACAGACACTGGCACACACAGGATATACACAGTAACAGGCACCAGGGCTGGGCAGAAGCTTCCTCTCCCGTTTCCGTGATGATGGGAGAGAATAAACACCGATTTCCCCAAGGCTCCGGGAAGCTGTCCTGGATTAACTTCTAGACTGCGTGTCGGATCGCAGGGCCTTTTCCCTGCTCGGGAACACCCTTCAGCCTGGCGCCTGTGGGCTCGCGCTGGGCGACGCCCGAGCCGGATGCCCTCTCGATCCTCCGGCCCCCGACTTGCCCATCAAGCCCCTCGGAGTCCGCAGGCGCGTCTGCAGGTGTTCGTGACTCCCGAGGGTGCTCGGCCACCCGCCCGGCCTGCGGCGGGAGTCGCCACTCCCGCCCGTCAGCAGCGGCTCCGGCTGCCGCCCGTACCCGTATCCCTTCCGTCCTGCCCGCTAGGGCCGCGACCGCCGACGCCGGCCTCACCTCTCCGCCGCCGTCCGCCTCTACTAGGGATCCTCCGCGGCAGCTCGAGCTCCTCCTCATCCACCCAGCAGGAAGTGACTCCGCGGCTGCTTTCGTCATTTCCACTCTAAGCCGGGTGGGAGGGGGCAATGTCCTGAGCCGACTCCACTTCCGCCGGTAAAAGGTGGCCGGTACCCCTCCGTGGTTAGGAGGCCCTGGGCCTGGAGTCCCGCATGGAAGGAGGGCGCTTCCGCACTTACGGGAGCCCAGAAACTTCTGCAGCCTTTCTGCGTTGGCCTTTCCTCCCTTCGCAGCCTAGGGGGTAGGATCGTTTCCTCGCATGTCTCCATTTTAGTCCTAATCGGCCTCATCCAAGTATTGTAAAGTGTACACGTCTTTGCCATTCAAACACCGCACCCCCCTTGCCTTTTATTCCTGATTAAGCAGTTACAGATTAATACGAAACAAACTTTGTGAGTTTCCGTAATTCCAAATGGTTCCCAGTCCTAGTTTCACTCCAGAGGCAGAGTTGGGATCAGTAAAATTAAGTGTATGAGAGTAAAAAGTGGGGGAGGCGAAGATGACAGGCGGAAGTGAAGACCAGTTTTCATCAAATACATGTGGAATACATACAACGTTTCCCACCTGTGAACCATGCAGCACATGGAAATATTGCCATTAGCTGTTAAAAAGAAAAAGGGTTGGCTTTTAGTGTTGGACATGCCTCTTAGCCTTGCCCAGGCTGGTCATGGTTTTGTGATTTTCCTGTGTTGTGCTGGGAGTGTAAAACTGTATCACCACATCTGCTTTTTGTTTATTTGGAGACGGGACCTTACCACATAACCCCTGGCTGCCGTAGAACACGCTATGTAGATCAGGCTGGCCTCAAACACACAGAGATCTGCTTGCCTCTGCCTCCCGATGGCTGGGATTGAAGGCGTGCACCCCTGAACGAGGCTAATAACTGGTTGTCCTTGAGTCACTGGTAAGTTCACTGCTAAGTGTGGCCTAAAGTTGCCTTACCTGTTTGAAAAAGAAGGAATAATAGTGTTAGTTCCCGCCCTTTCTAGTTAGAAAGTCTTACTATGGAAGTAAATACAATGGACAAGATTTAAATGCCATGCGGAGGATTGCCAACATGAGCACTCCTAGTGTAGAAATGTTTTATAATGGTCCCCATCTTCTGTACAGTCTAGAAAACGTCTTCTGTATTAGGCTGAGCAGAACAAAATGCAAGGGGTTAGCTAAATCAGTGGTTGAAAACTGGGTTGTGACCCCTTTGGCAGACCTCTGTCTTCAGAAATAGTTATATTGCAATTCATTACGGTGCAAAATTAGTTATAAAGTAGTAATGAAAATAATTTTATGGCTGGGGGTCACTACAGTGTGAGGAACTGTATTAAACGGTCACAGCATTGGAAAGGTTGAGAACCACCGAGCTAAATGAACATTATATTTCAGTCCTCTTGCCTTTAATGATTGCCTTTGCTACCTTGGTTGAGGACTCAATGTCAGTTCCTCATCTGGTTGGACATGGTCTTTATGGAGTATTCTTGTGGACTCCTATAGTTGTTTAGCAGTATTGAACTGTGTAGGGATAGTAAAGGTATTTCATTGTTGCGTTTGATGTGTTAACACAACGTGCAGCACATGGATAGATGGTGACAGAATGATCTCAAGACTGATAAGAGTTCTCAGGCTTTCACACCGTTCGTGCAAACCTTAGTCATCGTTCGTTCAGGAACCAGGGTGATGAGAATGAGTGGTTTCTGCAGAAACTCTGAGGTCGCCAGCCTTTAGCTCATGGCTTAGATGGGCATGGTTAGAGCTAGAACTGATGCAGAACCAGTAGCCAGAGCATGAGGACTCTCTGTAGGTGTTTTTACTCACGCCTCTTGACTACTGATTTTCTGTGGCTATTTCTCTAACTAACTGGGGCCACAGAAAATGGATTAATGCAATTTACAGAGATGAACAAGTCTCAGTACTTGGCTTAAATCTGGACTGATGTGTGGAGAAGTGTTTCCAGCATGGCAGATCTCAACAGAGTTCTTATTTTGAGAATCTAGTTCATCACCTGCCTGAAGTTCAGCAGGTGAATTTAGCTTTGATAAAGCAAACTGGGCAATGTGAGGGTCTACGTAAGCCATGTGTGCACTGGGAACCTTAACTGTGGTGGTGGAATCTGGGAGGGGTTGGTGGGGAAGATTGGGACTGCTAGGGACTTCCTGCCCAGTTACCTATCTTCCATATTCACCACTACATGGCTGCCTTCAGCATCTGTTGCAAACGGGCTTTTACAAGTTGAAGATTCCTTGTGCTCTTGAACAAGGAGAGCATATACCTTCTACAAGTACAGGCGTGGAGACACTTAGATAGAGCTATCTTGCAGTCACTCTTGAATTTCCAGTTGCTCAAAGTGACGTTGACACTGCTTTCCTCCCCCTCCCCACCCTTGTTTGCATTGTCCCACATCTAGGATAAGGTTCAGTTCTAAGACGTGTACTCTCAAAAGCCCATTCTTACCAAGATACAGCTACTTTCTGATTCCTAAATTTAAAAAGGAACAGTTGGCTATAGTGGCACATGCCTGTAATTGTAGCCCTGGTGAGGTAGAGGAGGATCAGGAGTTTAAGGCCAGCATCCATATTAGGGAATTTGAGGATGTCCTGGGTTACAGGAGACCTTGTCTCAAAAACCAAACAAATAAACAACCATACCAAACCAAAATGAAGTAAAACAAAGAGGAAATCTTCCTAAATGTATTTTTCTTCTAACAACCCCTTCTGGATTGCTCTCCCATCCCTACTTCCAGCTTTGTTATTTAATTATTCCCATTTTCATTTATGCACTTAAAGGTTTCCACACCCTAAACTTACCTGGACATGTGTATGATAAAATCCTTGCTTGTCTACTCTTGCAATAGGTGACTGTTTATATTCCATTGACATGTGTAATGGACGTTTCTATTCTTCCTAGCGAGTTTGTCTTAGGTTGCAAGGTCCCCGCAGAGACCCTGTTCCTTCACTGGAAGTACCTGGTGATGCCCGTGCTTCTATGTTGTCATAGGTGGTGCTGGTGAATGTCACTTCACCCACTTTTTGGTTACCTGTAGAATGCAGGAAGTTTCTCTCCTCCAAAATGTATCCTCGTTGAACTTGGACTTCAAAGACCCATTCCCTGTTGTGTGTCTAGATATTCTCTGACCTTGTTAGCTTCACTGAGTTTTCTTGTCCTTCTAGCTAGGAGGAGACACTGTTGATGCTGTAGCTGAGGACAGAATAATTTCTAAACTCTGAACCATGATTTCTTTTGCTGCCGTCCCTCATGCTACACTACTTTTGGTATCAAGAGCTCAAACTCGACAGTGGTTATCACATAATTTTACAAATTTTGAGTAGATTCAATGTTTTAAGCCTGTTTAAAAATCTAATCTTTAAAAAAAATGTTCCCAGAATTTGGGCTATTGGGTTTCTCACTATTTTCTGAGGCCTAGCCTCAGCTGATCCGTGTTAATCACTCTCTGTTTCAGTTTCTCCATGAAGTGATCATGCTAAGGTTTTCTGGGGAGAGGGGCTGGGATGCACTCGGTTGGTAGAGTGCACCTAGCACACCTAGTCCACACAGAACTCCAGGCTGGATTCCCAGCACCATATGAACTAGTGTGCTGGCTCATACTTAGAATCCCAGCACTTGGGAGGAGAAGTAGGGGATCGAGAGTTCAAGATCTCATTCCTCTACATACTGAATTTGAGGACAGTCTGGAGTACATGAGACTTTGAGCAAATAAATAAATTACAGGAAGAAAAAAATACTAAAACATCATTGACATCGATAAAAATCAAAGACAGAAAGGCTGATATGAATTTGGTGTATTTATATCTATAATACCTTGGTTTACTCCTCAGTAAAGTAAAGATAAATTGTAAAATGAACTTGGACTAGATGTTATTTGCATTTTACCACATTGGACTAGAGTAGCTTGTAAGATCTTTGGTTTGTTTTTCCCATCAACCTAAGGTTATTGTAAGGATAGAGGAATTAATGTCGGTAACATGATTGGGGATCCCCAGATAAAAGGTTAAGTGGGTCCAAAGCAGAAGTAACTTTGCTCCCAGTTACAGCCAAGCCAGAAGGAGCAGAGAGCTTGGCTATTTATTTGCAGTGACTTGGGGACTCAAGGACTCTCCGGGATTCTACATCCATCATAGTCCACAAATACCCCTGCCTCTCGTTTCCCCTTTTTGTGTCTTAGTTCCCGTTCAGATGAGCACAGCGAAGAGGGTAGTGAGACACCATGAGAGCGGCACGGGAGAGCAGGATTTACAGGAGGAAATGACCACCCAGGCTAGTTTGCTTTGTTTTATTCCTGGCAGCTCAGGAGAAACCTGCCCAAATGTTGGTTGTCAGTCTATATATTTCTAATGCCTGCTTCTTCCAGGAATCCCATGGAAGTTAATGGGAGCAGAGGGCTAGCTTCTGGTTGGAACCCATTTAGTCTGTGTTCTCTAAGACCTGGCATTTGTTTCCCACTCTTACAATACCTCAAACCCTGACCTGCATGAACTTTTTAACTTTATATTTATTCACTGTTATATCTGCTGTCATTCTCTTCTTTTTATTACTATCAATGTGATTTGGAGAGGGCAGAAACTGTGTTTATCTCTGTCTCCTGTGTAACAGCCTATAAAATGATAGCCACTGCAATAGAGACATGGGGTCAGAGTCTCATAAACACCAGCAATGCTCATTTTGAGCCTGCCACAAGTGAGGCCTCCCATGAAGTTAATTAAAGGCTGTTGCCTTAATGCTTTAAGAGACCTTTGCTGTAAGAATTGCCCAGGAGCTGGGCAGTGGTGGCACATGCCTCTAATCCCAGTGCTCAGGGGCAGAGACAGGTGGATTCCTGTGAGTTCAAGGCCAACTTGGTCTACGAAGTTAGTTCCAGGACAGCTAGGGCTATTCTGCAAAGAAGCCCTATCTTGAAAAACAAAAGCAATAACAACAAAACAAAACAAAACAAAACGAAAGAAAACAAAACAAAAACTTGCCCAGATATGTCCCAAGATTTTGAAGCCGAGTGAGCATTGGAAGTCATCTCTCT